GAGAAACATCGATGTGAAAGGGACACATCGAGTGGCTGCCACCCGCACGACCAACCAGGGTCGGGGACAAACTGCAACCGAGGTACATGCCCTTAGTGGGAACCGAACCCGGGTCTCTGGGGACCACAGGCCGACGCTCTAACCGCTGAGCCAAACCGGCCAGGGCCCATCTCAACCATTTTTAAGTGTATAGTTCTATGGCATCAAGCACCTTTGCATTGTTGTGCAGCCTTCATCACCGTCCACTCCAGAACTTTTTCATTCTCTACACAAAAACTCTGTACCCATTAAACACTAATTCCTCATTCTCCCCTCCCCCAGCCCCTGGTAACCACTGTCCTACTTTCTGAGACTGGATTTAATTATTCTATGTACCTCATATAAGTGGAATCACACAATATCTGTCCTTTTGGGTCTGGTTTATTCTATTTAGCATAATGTCCTCAAGGTTCCTTCTTGGCCTTTAGCCATCATGGAAATTGGTATGTTGCAACATGTATCACAATGTTTTTCCTTTTTAAGGCTGAGTAATATTTCATTGTATGTATGTATATGCCACATTTTGTTTGTCCATTCATCTGTGGATACTTAGGTTGTTTCCACCTTTTGGCTATTGTGAATGCTGCTGCTGTGGATGTGGGTGCACAAATATCCATTCAAGTCTCTGCTGTCAGTTTGTTTGGGTATATATCCAGAAGTGGAATTTCTGATTATGTGGTAATCCTAGGTTTAATTTTTTTAAGAACTGCCGTACTGTTTTCCATAGCCACTGCACCATTTTACATTCCCCTAACAAAGCACAAGGGGTCTAGTTTCTCCACCTCCTTGCTAGCACTTAAAAAAAAAATTCAGTCCAGCCGTCATGGCTCAGTGATTGAGCGTCGACCCATGCACCAAGAGGTCGCCAGTTCGATTCCGGGTCAGGACACATGCCCAGGTTGTCGGCCCAATGCCCAGTGGGGGGCATGCAGGAGGTGGCCAATCAGTGTTCTCTCTCATCAATGTTTCTCTCTCTTTCTCCCTCTCACTTCCTTTCTCTTTAAAATCAAAAAAAGGAAAAGAAATTTTTTAATAAAAAAAAAAAAAATCCAACCTAATAGATATAAAGTGGTACCTCATTGTGCTTCTGAAGGAAGTATTGGGTTTTTCTTTCTGATTTGCAGAACCTCTTTTATATTAAAATTTTTTTTACTGTGTCTATGCAAATATGTTCCCAGTTTGTTGTTTGCCTTTTAATTTTGTGTGCAATTTTTTTTTAAACCTCACCCGAGGATATTTTTCTATTTATCTTCAGATAAAGTGGAAGGGGGGGGGAGGGGGGGGAGATGGAGAGAGAGAGAGAAAAACATCGATGTGAGAGATACATTGACTGGCTGTCTCCCGAACAACTTAACAACCCCGTCCAGGCCCGGGATGAACTACAACCGAAGTACATGCCCTTGACTGAAATTGAGCCTGTGACTCATTGATCCTCAAGCCAATGCTCTAACCACTGAGCCAAACAGGCCAGGGCATGCAATTTTTAATATAGAGTTTTGTTCTTATGCAATAAAATCTATCAGTCTTTCCGTTAGCAACATTTTACCTTCTGTCTTTCCCTCTCCTTCTATCTGATAAATATTTTATTCCATTTGTGGTTTTCTTTTTCATTTACACTGTAATCTATCTGAAATTAACATAGGGGTAAGATATAAGGCAAGGGTCTCACCATGTATTTTTATCACATAATCATAATCAATTGTTCCAGCATTACTTATCAAGTAAGTTTTCCTTTCCCTCTTACAACAGATATTAAGCTCTTCATATATATTAAGATCTGTAGGTGGCGCTGTGAGGTGCCTCCCAGACCTCCCTCCAGAAATAAAGAACTTATCCCCACAGCCCTTGGAAGACAGTTTCAGTTTTGGGGATTACTTCGCCTAAAGTAAACTGTTCACCCAAGGTGCTACCTCCTCCCAGGGGTGGCTTACATCCAAATGATACCATTGTAAATAACCCAATTATCAATTAACTGGAAAAGAGCAAAGGGAAGGCCAAATAGACTCCTGCCCAGTGAAGTCTGGGTGACTTGGGAAGGTGCTTGCCTGTCAGTCATACCTGGAAACAGGTCCTTGGCCAGGATAAGCATGGCCCCTGCAATGGCGGGGAATCTGAGGTACATAAGCTCCTAAACAATAGGAATTCCCTTTCTTGCTACTCGAGCCTGACTCCTGGCTTTTGGGGCTCTCCTGCTCTGCACTTGCCCACATGGCCCATAGCCATGCAAACATCACACAATGGACTGATGGACTGTGACTAGCCTGATGCTACACAGAACACAACTCCGCCATGGGATGAAAACTTTAGATGCTGGCTTTACTTCTAGCTCTGCTGAGTCCCCAGCTGCACCCCTTCTAGAACTGCAAAAAGGGAAATGGGACTTTGCAAACCCAGTGATATAATTCCATGCAAATAAAGCTTTCTACTACGTCTCATTCTCCTGCAGGGGCCTCCAGAAATACTTATTCCTGTGGTGCCATCTCTCTCAGCCTGTCGGGGGTCAGCGCAATACAATGAACTACAAGCACACACTGGTAGGAGTGAGGGAGAGCATAGCAAAGGAGTAAATGCTCCAGATCTCCAGATGCACCCCAATTTATTTGCAGATTGGTTCCCCGTTACATGTGGATTTATGTAAATTATTTCCTTGAGATGGCGTCTCTGCAAACCACACAGCCTAGCCTTGTCTCTCGCTTTTTATGGCAGAAAGAGACTTTAAAGCTAAAAAGTAACAAACCAAGACATTCTTGAGTCCTACAACTCATTGGCCGCTCAAGGCAGTGTTCCAACATTTGTCATGCAAACCTTACCTTGTACGCATGCAAACAAAGCATCCATATGCACCCAAGGCGGTTTTCCTGCCTTCCAGTCAAACCTGTCTGTCCACACACACACTTTGATCCTATGCTGGCCAGGTTGTGAGAATGCATATTGCAAGGTTACAAATCATCCATCCACCAACCCCCCCATCCCTACACTGTGGCACCCCAAGAACCCCATCTCACTAGCAACAGAAAAGGGCAAGCTACACAATTCTCCGATAACATAAGGAATAGCCAACATGAGGATATAAAGGCCCACTTTGTCCCAAAGCAGGACAATTCTAAAGAGCCATTCCAGCCTCATGTGACCTTTGGGTTACCTGAAACTTTTGTTGGGTCCTTACCAGAAACTGATTGCACCCTTTGCTCAATCCTATTTCTTTCCCTTCCACAGGTGCTGATCCCCAAGGCATTCCCTAGTAAACATCCTGCATGCTAATATCTACAGTATTTTTGTGGACTTTTGTTTCATTAACATATTAAATTTAGCACCATGTATTTCAATTTTTTTTTTGTAGTTTGAAATTCAGAGGACTTTTTGCATTTTTAGTTGTCATTATCTTAATCCCTAAAGTTATGATGTTACATAGTAAACAAAAACATTATAATACAAAAATAGTCATTAATAAATAAGAAGTAAGGCCCCACTCAAAGAGCACCTTTAGTTTAAACTAGCATCTTTTTTCCCCATCTCAACTGCAATGTGATACACTGCCAAGTACAAACAGACCTTGAAAATTTTGCAAAAGAAGCAAAATTTTATGATGTTGATAGAGTTGATATTAGAATACAATTTAAATCACCCCAAAATTCTAAATTGCTAAAAATTGAAGAAGGGCAAATCAACAAGGTAGGCGCTTAAAAAAAAAAAAGGCCTGTGGCTCACTGGTAAGTTCTACCAAACATTAAAGAATGAACATCAATCCTTCTCAAATTTTTCCAAGAAATAGAAGAGGAAATAATTCTTCCTAACTCATTCTGTGAGGTTGATAGTACCCTGATACCAATGCCAGCCAAAGACATCACAAGAAGAAACTACAGATCAATATCCTTTATAAATATAGATGCAAAAACCCTCAACAAAATACTAGCAGACGGAATCAGGGCATAGTAAAAAGATAATACACCATGATTGAATGAGATTTGTCCCAGGAATGCAAGAGTTTTTCAATGTACAGAAATCAATCAATGTACTACATCACATTAAGAAAATGAAGGAAAAAAATACATGATGATCTCAGTGCAGAAAAAGCATTTGGCAAAATCTAACACCTTTATTTTACATCAGCAATTTTCAAACAGTATGTTACAAGAATTTTTTAAACAAGCACTACCTCACCCTGGCCGGTTTGGCTCAGCGGTTAGAGCATCGGCCTGTGGTCCGGAGAGATCCGGGTTCAGTTCCCGCTAAGGGCATGTACCTCGGTTGCAGTTTGTCCCCGGCCCTGGTTGGTTGTGCGGGTGGCGACCACTCGATGTGTCCCTTTCACATCGATGTTTCTCTCTCTCTTCCTCTCTCTCCCTCCCACTCTACCTAAACAAAAAAATGAAAAAATGTCCTCGGGTGAGGATGATTAAAAAAAACACACACAAAAAAAACAAAAAAACAAGCACTACCTGACTATTTAGTCAGGGGCACTGACCTCTTTTCCCTTAGACTGTCAAATGAAAAATTACAACAGCCAACACAACAATAGGTGTCTGGTATGAATGAATAAAAATTATACCTCTTTTTTGTTTTTGTCAGATTGGCAACAAGTGTATTTTTGGTGTGCCAGAGAATTTTAGTAATTATGTACGCCATGAGATAAATAAAAAAAAAAAAAAAGGCATCCTAGCTTGTTTTGACCAATAGAATGCAGTAGAAATGAACCACTTGTTCTGAAACTAAACCTCAAAAGGACTTACATGTGTTTTTATCTCTTGGAACATTGCTGTTGCCACATGAACAAGGCCAGCCTAACCTATTAAATAATAAAATATGTAGCTCAGTCACCTCCACTTGTCCCAGCCGACACACAGGAAAAAATAAAATAAAAAAAAAAGGTGTCCTATCATGTTATCATATAATTTTGTGGGGAAATTAAGCCAAAAAAGTGAAAAATGACTTATTCTTCTTGGTTCTAAAAATCTGTTCGAGGCCTCCCAGTGCTCACCACAGGCTGTGTTCTTACACTGACTGCACAGAAAGAAGAGGCAGTATACCCACCCGTATACACCTCAGCACAGCTCTTTGCCTGGTCTGTATTGTGGATGGGGGGGATCAGTGTGTGACAGTCAGCAGTCTAAAATTAGCAGGAGAAGAATCTGATTGGCTGGTTCAGATCATCTTCTCGTGCCACGCCTCAGCTACGGTGGGCTGGCCTTGAGTTAGGGCATCGCCCTGGATAATCTGTGGGGGTCTCTGTATAGAAGATAGCCACTAGGGACTCCGGGTAGGGCAGAAGCACGTCATCAGAGCTGAAGCCTTCCCTCTTTCCACCACCCTCTTGTCCCTCTTCTCCATCGTCATCCATCCTGAGCATTATCCAGCCTCCCTGGGACCTCCCAGCTGCCAGGCTCTGGAAGACTGAATGTCAGCCTCGTCTCCTTCCCTGCCAACTCCCTCCTGCTCTTCAACACCCCTCTCCTGCCTCGCCCACCCTTCAGTTCTGTCCTGAAGAAGTTTCAGAGAATATCCTCAGCACTGTTATCTGCTTTAGGGGAATCTAAAGGTCAGGACTTTGGGCAATTAAGCTCAAGGCCTTCCACTGGACTAGGGGTAAATGACCCAGGGAGCATTCCTAGGGAAGTGGTTTGAGGAAATGAGTCAACCAGTGTCTTTGTCAGGGCAGGCCCCAGGCAATGGACCCTCCGAGGTCAATGTCCCTGTCTTCCGGTTGTGCCCAAACCTCCACCTTAGGAGGTAACTGGGCCCTTGAGATTCCTGGATCACTACCTTGTCCTGCTTTGAGAAGTGTATTTTAGGAGGAAAGTAATGGAGGGAGAGGACTCTGCTTGACCCTCAGAAGGTGTTTTGAGACATGAGTAGGGAGTTCTTCCGGTATCATAATGCTTCCTCACCAGCCCAGGCCAGGAGCCTCCTCTGCTCTCCAGAATTGACTCTTTTGACCCCCTCATTGGTCCCTTCTTATCAAAGATCATCACCTGAACCTCAGCAGAGCCTACCCAGGTCCTTTCTGCCTCTCTTCATACCTCCACATCTTTCTACCCAATCTGCTGTTGTAACCTTTCTGACCTTCAGTTTCTATATTTGTAAAATGGAAATAAAGAGCACTTACTGCCCTGGCCGGTTTGGCTCAGTGGTTAAAGTGTCTTCCCACAGACCGAAGGGTTGTGGGTTCAATTCCTGATCAAGATCACGGACCTGGGTTGCAGGTTCAATCCCTGGCCCCTGTTGAAGTTGTGCAGCAGGCAACCAATCGATGTGTCTTTCTCACATTGATGTTTCTCTCTCTCTCTCTCCCTCCTTCCTTCCCTTTCATGCTATCTAAAAATCAACGAAGCCTGGCCGGTGTTGCTCAGTGGTTGATTGACCTATGCACCAAGAAGTCTGGTTCGATTCCCAGTCTGGGCTCATGCCCCGGTTGTGTGCCAAATCTCTAGTTGGGGGCATGCAGGAAGTGGCCAATCGATGTTCTCTCTCATTGATGTTCCTCTCTCTCTCTTTCTTCTTTCTTTTCTCTCTAGAATCAATAAAGAAAAAATATCTTTGCCCTGGCCAGTTTGGCTCAGCGATTGAGCGTTGGCCTTCGGACCAGAGACCCCTGGGTTTGGTTCCCGATAGGGGCATGTACCACCAAAAAAAGAAAAAGAGCCCTGGCCAGTTTGGCTCAGCGGTTAGAGCGTCGGCCTGCGGTCCGGAGAGACCTGGGTTCGGTTCCCGCTAAGGGCATGTACCTCGGTTGCAGTTTGTCTCCGGCCCTGGTTGGATCGTGTGAGTGGCAACCACTCGATGTGTCCCTTTCACGTCGATGTTTCTCTCTCTCTCTCTCTCCCTCCCACTCTATCTGAACAAAATATCAAAAAATGTCCTCGGGTGAGGACAAAAAAAAAAGAAAAAGAAAAAATATCTTTAAAATGAAATAAACAAACAAACAAATAAAAATCAACGGAAAATCCTTGGGTGAGAATTCACACACACACAAAAGATAACACTTACTTTTAAAGAGAGGTGGCAAGGCTTCCGTGAGATCAGGAACATATTGCATTTCCTAAAGCACCTGATGCACCATAAGTGCTCAGTAGACATCAGCTGCTGCTGTTGCTGTGATTTTATCATGTCATCAGCCATGCAACCACTTATAAGGAGCACTTATTGTGTCAGGCCCTGGACAGGATCTTTAGGGCACAGTGCTTGGCCTCAGATAGCCTTAAATATATTTAGAGAGAGAAGAAAAATCACCATTCAATAAAATAGGCCATAAGCAATTTGGCACAGTTTTTAAAAATCTGTCAATATGCTCGAAAATCTCCGCCCCTTAAATCCAGCCTCCCCCTCCCATTGGCTGCACCTTCTACCACTGTTAGCCTGGACAAAGCCATCACCAAGATGTGGTGGGCTGGGCTTTGGGAAACTCATAGGGGCCTCGTGTGGCTTTTCCAACTAGTCCTTCCTTCCACATGCCACCACCAGCACTAACACAGTCAAGGCCTCAGCCCTGAGTCTCCCCTCCCCAGGGCCCCAGAGCCTGAGTTCCAGCCAGGTTCTTGGGGAAAGGTCGTTGTTGACCGAGGGGCATTGAGAACTTTGTCCCTACCACCACCTTAGAAGGCTCTCTGGGGGGCAGGGAGGATGTAGGATGGGGGTAGGCCAGGGGCAAAGGATGGCTAAAGGTATTTATGGGAAGGAGGCAGGAGAGACACACCTAGAGGACAGGGAGGAGTCAGGAACCTGGGTCTCAGCCAGCTGAGAGGATCAAATTTCAAATTCCCCTGGGCTGAACTCTGAGATAGAAACCGTGGGCAAGGTGGCCTGAGGAGGGAGAGAGCCACAGGGGAGACCCAGCCACTCCACCTGCCCTCGGCCTGAGCCCTCTGGGAAAGGCTAGCAGTCAGCAGGGCCCGGAGCCACCTACCCCAGGGCCCGCACCTTTCTGCCCTCCTTGCCTCTTAGCACCTGCTGAGGATCGCGAATCAAGAACCGAACCCAAGAGGGAAAGAAGATAATGGAGCCAGACAGGACTCAGATAAAGCTTGACCCCAGGTGAGTGAGGGCAGCAGGCCCTGGGCCAGGAGCCAGTTGCTAAGCAGCAGGTGGCTTCTATCGCTCTGGCCTGTCCCTCTCAGGATCCTTTGGTTCCTAGCACATAGACTGGAACAGGACTGATAATGTTCTGGCTGTCCTGGAGTTCCTCGGGGACACTGTGGGGTTGGGCCAGTGCGTGACCCCTCAGAGCCTTGGCTTTCTCTCCGCATTCGAGACAGAAAGATCCCAGAGTTGGGAGCTGGGGGAGAGGGTGCGGGCAGAGCCCCTGCCAGCTGGGGACCCAGCCCTGGTGCTGAGGGTCCACCTTTCTCTGGGATCCTGCTCTTTCTCCCTAGCCAGCTCCTGGGCTGCTGCCCCCAGGGGAGGGAAGAGAAGGGCTGTGGGCTCTCTGGGCACTGCAGCCAGACCTGACCCTGCCTGGTGGCAGGCTGCCTCCCACACTGGACGGCCCAGTCTGCACTCCCCCAGAGTCAGGACCTGAGGGGAAATGGACGAGCTCCCTGAACCCAGAAGTGTTTGAGGGAGCCTCAAATAACCGGTGTCTGTTCTGGCACCCTGTCCTCTCCACGAGTACCCATATCTGAGCAAGCTGGTGTCTCCCCAGGTACACGGCAGATCTCCTGGAAATACTGAAAACCAATTACAGCATCCCCTCTGCCTGCTTCTCGCACCCTCCCACTGCAGCCCAGCTTCTGAGCGGTGAGTCAGGGACCCTCCCCGGGGCGCGAGGTGGCCCTGAGCTGGCCAGCCTGAGAGCCTGGGAGGAGGGCTGGCCCAGTGTCTGTCTGTCTGTCATGGTTAAGGCCTTGGAGAACAACTCCTCAAGGAGCCAGAAGGCCAAAGGGGCACGACAACCTAGCCCCGCAAGCAAACCCGCACGTTGGGCCTCTCACGTATCCTCGCCTCAAAGCTCATTCGAACTGGGGACGGCGGCCTAGAGCATTTTTCAGACCCCAGGACCATCCAGGGACTCAAGAGGGTGCCCAAATGACTCAAGCCCCACAGAATCCCCTGAGGCCTGCACGACAGCCTTCTTGGGGAAGGGCCTGTATCATTCGAGAGGGTCGTTATGCTGAATAATGTTCTTAAAACTTAGGCGAACCTGTAAAACTATTCGGACGGTGCCAGCCAACTGGATTCCTATAATGGAATTAATTGCTTTTGCAAGTGAAAGGCTGAGATGGGACTCAGTTTATTCCCCGGATGCACAGAACAGGACAATCAGATGACCCTAGCATCCTCACAGCAAATACGGCTCCCTGACATTTTCTTTTGTTTTCCTTCTGCGTGATTAACTACCTTTTAGACGCGGATGGATGGGCGTCTGTGTCTCTGTGGCCCCTGAATGCTTCCCCAGCCTCCTTCCTGATGTTGTCACCTCAAGGAGTAGACCTTTCCAGAACAACAGGATGCGGCTAGCGCACAGGAGGAGGCACTCATGGGCATATCCTTGGGCAGGGTTCAGCCTCGTTTCAGGTGTTCTGAACCAGGGTGAATGCCAACTGCCAGAGCGTGTCCAGAGAAACCTCTTAGCTGCTCTGTGGTTCGTGCCGGAGGCAGAGGCTACATTTGACTCTAGGAACCTTTTGTTCGGAGTACAGCTGGTGACACGTCTTCCCTTACACTGCTGGTTGTCAGCCAGAGTCAGTTTGTCCCCCAGGGGACTTTTGGTAGGCTGGAGACAGTTTCAGTTGTTACAACCAGAGGGTGCTACTTGGCATCCAGTGGGCAGAGGCCAGGGATCCTGCCCTGGGAACAAAGGAAAACCTCCCACAACAAGGAATTCTCGTGGCCAAAGGGTCAGTAGTGCTGAGGTTGAGAAACCCTGCCTTACACAGTGAGACTGACTCCCACACTGCCTGGCTGCAAAACGTGCAGGCAGAAGCACCTAGGATGTTCCAAGGAGACCATCCTGGGCTGGTTCCCAGGGGAGCAGCTGGAGGGGGCAAGCACCGTGCGCACTGCTGGGCGGGGGATGAGCAGGCTCCGACACTGAGGACCCAGGTCTGGCAGCATTCAAGGTGGCTGGTGGGGAAGTTGGGGGCAGTTGAGAGGCTGGGCAGGTAAGGTGCGGCCCGGTGAGTGTCGGGCAGAGGAGTTGTACTTTATCCTGTAGACAGAAGGAGTCTGGTGAGGGCTCTGAGATTGGGAGGGGCTGGATAGTGCTTCAGGACCATTAATCAGTAATCAGAATGGACTCCAAGAAAGAAGAACCTTGAGAAGCAGGGGTATAAATTGGGGTTATTACCCCAGCCCAGCATGGGGGACAAGGGTCTGAGCCAAGGCAATGTCAGGGAAAGAAAGGGAAGGCTGGAAAACACAGGAAATCCATAGAGAAAGCAGGCAATCTGGTAAATAAATATCTAGACAAGGTGAGTGAAGGAAAACAGACTAATGATGACTGGGATCTGCCAATGGTGGTGACACTGACGGACACTGGGAGCTGGGAAGAGGCGCCCACTGGAGGATGAGGAGAAACCCTCTCCTTCTTCGTTTGTGAACTGTGTTGTTCCTCAAAATAAATGCCGTTTAAGAAAGAGCTATTCTGGAAGAACTACTAAACCTTTCAATAACCTGTGTTGCCTGTGTTATGATTGTAATTATAATCCTTACAGTATTTTTTTTAAATTTATTTCTTTATTGATTTTACGGAGAGAGAGATAGAAACATCAATGAGAGAGAACATCAATTGGTCGCCTTCTGCGCGCCCCCACTGGGGATTGAGCCTGCAACCCAGGCATGTGCCCTGACCAGGAATCAGACTGGAATCTCTCAGTTCACGGGACGACACTCAATCCACTGAGCCACACTGGCCGGGCCATTTTACTACACTCTTATAGGCAAAATAAAAAGTCTGATAATCCCAAGTGAAGGTGAATTTGAGGTGAACTGTGAACTCTCGTAGACTTCAGGTGAGATTATAAACTGGTATAACAACTTTGGAGACTAATTATATATCTGTAACACTGAAGATTCTCATCTCCTACAACCCAGCAATTCTAATTCTAGGTATATGAACAGAGGAACTTTCCTGTATGTGCCAAGGAGACACGCCCAATAATACTTATTGTAGCATTTTTTTGTCAGTGAAAATAATAACAATTGCGAAAACCATGTTGATAGGCACTAAACTTATGGACCTTGGTCTTAGAGAAGATTTTATAAATTTGACTTCAAAGGGACGGAAAACAAAAACAAAAATAAATGAATGGGACGGTATCAAACTAAAAAACTTATGCACAGCAAAAGAAACTGTCAACAAAACAAAAAGGCGACCAACCGAATGGAAGAAGATATTTGCAAACAACAGCTCCAACAAGGGGTTAATATCCAAAATATATAAAGAACTCACACAATTCAACACCAAACAAACAAACAATCCAATTAAAATTTGCAGAGGACCTGAATAGACACTTCTCCCAAGAAAACATACAAATGGCTAACAGCCCTGGCCAGCCCTGGCCGGTTTGGCTCAGTGGTTTGAGCATTGGCCTGCGGTCTGGAGAGACCCGGGTTCGGTTCCCGCTAAGGGCATGTACCTCGGTTGCAGTTTGTCCCCAGCACTGATTGGGTCGGGTGGGTGGCGACCACTCGGTGTGTCCCTATCACCGAGTCGATGATTTCTCTCTTTCTCTCTCCCTCCCACTCTATCTGAACAAAATATCAAAAAATGTGCTCGGGAAAAAAAACAAGAACAAATGGCTAACAGATATCTGACAAGATGCTCAACTTCACTAGCTGTTAGGGAAATGCAAATCAAAATTACAATAAGATACCACTTCATACCTGTTAGAATGGCTATCATCAAGACAAGTAACAATAAGTGTTGGAGAGGTTGTGGAGAAAAAGGAACCCCCACTCACTGCTGGTGGGAATGCAAACTGGTATAGCCACTTTGGAAAACAGACAGGTGGTTCCTCGAAAAATTAAGCATAGAGTTACCATATGGCCCAGCAACTCCCTTTTTGAGTACCTATCTAAAAAATTTGAAAACACTTAATAGTAAAGATATATGTACCCCTATGTTCATTGCAGCATTATTTATGGTGGACAAGACATGGAAACAACCAAAGTGTCCTTCACTAGATAATTGGATAAAGAAGATATGGTACATGTATACAATGGAATACTACTCAGCCATAAAAAGGTTAAATGCTGCCATTGGTGACAGCATGGATGGTCTTGAGAATATCATACTAAGCAAAATAAGCAGATAGAAAAAGTCAAGAACCATATGATCTCACTTATATGTGGGATAAAAAACTGAAAGCAACAAATGAACAAACAACAACTCAGACACAGACAACAGTATGGTGGTTACTGGAGGGATAGGGGGGTGGAGGGAGGTGCTAAAGGGGGTCAAATATATGGTGACATAAGATTTGACTTTGGGTGATAAGCACACAGTGCAATACACAGATGATATATTATAGAAATGAACACTTGAAACATAACTTTATTAACCAATGTCACCGATAAATTTAATTTAAAAAACAATGTTAGGTGGAAAAAACATTTTGCAGGATGATGCCATTTATATAGATTTTTATTTATTTATATGTTTTTATCCTTACCTGAGGACATTTTTCCATTTTATGTTCAGATAGAGTGGAAAGGAGAGAGAGAGAGAGAGAGACATCGATGTGAAAGGGACACGTCAAATGGCCGCCTCTCGTACAACCCAACCAGGGCCAGGGACAAACTGCAACCAAGATACCCGCCCCTAGTGGGAACTGAACCCGCGTATCTCTGGACCGCAGGCCAACGCTCTAACCACTGAGCCAAATCGGCCAGGGCTTTTATAGATTTTTAAATGCAAAGCAATGTAGCATGTTGAGTATGTAGCTATGTTGTGAAACATTAAAACGGAAATGGAAAAACTATACACCAACTCCAGAATAGTAGCTAGCCCTGGGAGGTGAGGTAGGAAAGAGAAAAGGATCCAGGAGGTATATACAGGACCCTTCAAATACATCCGTAATGTTTAATTTTTCTAAAAATAACTTTTGAAGCAAAATCAGCAATATCATAACACTTTAAAATGGGTTATGGATATAGTAATGTTTACTCTCTTATTCTCTTTATTTTTGAAATTTTTATAATTAAAAAATAAGTATAAATAATTATAAAAATAGTTTTGAAAAGTTGTGATAAAATGTTAGATTAAAATAACAGAATACAAAATTTTACAGTATGATTGCATTAATATAATATGTATCACTTTAACCAGGATGTTGTTAAAGCTCCTTTTTATTGAGCAGCTACTATAGGCCAGGTGCTGTGTGTTAGGGTCTTGTTTTGGGGCCGGTGACACAGGCTTATGAAAGAATTCACAGCTGAGTGAAGAGAGAAAGGGGAGGAGAGGACATTTATTTCTCTTTCCCCATAGACAGGGAAAGGACCCATGCACTGACTGGCAATGCAAGGGCAGGGAAGAAAGAGTGAGTTGCTCTTTAATCGGGAGCTTTGGGGAGTAAGGGCAGTTGGGGCTGGGAGGAGATGGTGTTTGTAGTGAAACAGATGGGGGGAGGGAGTTGCCTTGAGGAGTTGCAGTTTGTTCTCAGAACAATATGCCAGAAGGGTTCTTATCATATCTTCTTTAGTGTAAAATATGCTTTGATGTAAAGAGAAAAAGAAGTTTCACCTGAAGGGGTTGTAAAGAATTCGAAAGAAGAAGATTTGTTTGAAGGAAGAAGGGA